TTAGTAGTAACATTGCCACAACAACTTTGCCTTCCACCCTTTACTTCTTCTCTTCGTCTTAATTTTCCACCCCCAAACTCTTTGTTTTTTATAACTAGTAATGGGAGAGACCTGCACCACAGAGATACGCTCAGTTTACTTTCTCTCAACGCGAGATCAGTCGTGTAAATGATGGCACAAGTCATATCTGTGGCCTTTGAGGTTGAACTAGATGTTTTATGTATCAAAGAATCTTGACCCCACTTTAGTATTTCTGACACGGCGCTCGCTATAGATAGTGTCATCTTATACTGACAAGACCATGTTGAAAAACGTTGCTGTGGTTGTCTTCCTTACATGAGAGCCTCACTTGCACATTTGTCTTATGACCTAAACATTTCTCCATTTTGTGGGAATCTCTGTTTCGTTTCGGTAATTTATTCGCAGAATAGAAAAGCCTTAGCTGGATGTGTATATAATCCCCCTTGTTACTACGGAAATGACAGCCACCTCCGGGAATTCTTTGAAAAATTTCAGGGACTTCATTCGATGTCTAGAAAATCGTAGGTGATCTTAATTTGTGAGAAACTGGCTGGTATAATTATATTTCCTCTCCTAAATTTCAGAAGCTTGTGGGTACTATTCACTTTCCAAACTGGTCCAAAGTAGTCCACTATTCGAACAAACACTATAGCATATTACATTTGACTTTTAATAACGACAACCTTCATTTGTTTATTGATTTCCATTGTGACTTTTATAATAATAATAATGCTAATTTGCAGTCATTGTCACAGATAGAGTAAGCACAAATGCAGCCAGCAGTAAAAAAAATTCCTGATAAAGAAATAAAGAATGTGGTGCTTTTGCATAGTTTAGAGGGTTCGGGAGAAAAAAATCCGGTGCCTATTAAATGACGACAGCCGAGAAAGGGATGGGTAGCACTGCATCAGATACCTCCGTCGCCATTTCTTTTCATGAAGTTGGCATTGCACCAAACAAAAGCACTAAAGAACAGCTGTCGCTGTTGACTAGAGAAATTGTTTCTGTTAAGACCGGTAATGGAGACCAGAGACCACGAACGCCCTCTCTACGGTATACTTGATAGGTAGATTCAACACCAAAAATTTTCGGGAGTTTTTCTAAATGCGGAAAGCGAGTTGTAGTTTTCTTAGACAAAGAATAATTTGCCTCATTTTCATACTTTTGGGAAATTAACCCCAAACAGCAATTGTGTCCACAG